TGGCAAAATTCCGGCGCCGGAGCTTGCTTGGGTGCCGAGTTGAAATATCCGGAAAGATGCACACACACACATACACATACACACCGGGGTCGTCACAATATGCGTTTTTGCATTTGCATATTATGCCAAAACGCATAAAAACTGTTGGCTGCAGTACTGATTTGGAGCAAAATTTTAATGTACGCGCCCACGTCTCATTTGAGTAAGCTTGTTGTTTCCAGCTTCCCAAATGCGCTGTAAGATTTACAGAGAAATATTGGCTCTTATTATGATTCATTACGATTCCCAACGTGAAACAATGGTTTGGCACGGCGCTTGATTTTGTTCGGAAAGCTAACATGATGTGTTGTGGTTGATTTTCTAAAGTTTCATTTTCAGAAACGAATTTGTATTGTACCACGGTTCACTCCTGTGTCGTAAAGGAGGAAAGTGGAAAGGAGGTGCAGTTACTGGACGAAAATGGCTGTGCAGTGGACAAATATCTCTTGAATAATTTGGTGTATACGTCTGATTTGACAGGTGGCCAGATGTCCCAGGTCTGCAAATGATCGCTTTTCTTTTTCATTTCACGAATTTTCATTCTTGAGCATTAAGAAATTACACTTTCAAAATTTTATTGAAATTCAATGTTTCATTTACTCATTTGTTAAACTAAGCTCCCCAAACTTTTCGTTTTTAAAAGTGCAATATTTTGCTGAATCAAAGGAACTTTAACATTTGCCAGTATTTCAGGAAATTTGACTTTAACTTTACGTACTCTGATATTTTCGTTAGTTGTCATTCTCCGGCTATGCGGCTAGCAACATTTTCAGCTACGTATTGTCTGATGGTCAGCCTTCTAGCAATTCTGGAATTTGTTCGCGTTTTGATGGGTTTACCAACATAACGGTTCCTTCGAAAGAAATCTTTGGCAGGGGTTTAATCGTTTTGAGATGTTATCGATGTACATTCAGCATCACGAATTAGTCTCGAATATTTGTATGCCTAGATAAAACCGACAATGTATCCCACTGGCTAGGAGTTGACTTTGTGCAGATAAGTTATTAATCGAAACTGAGAATAGCGTATATTTTTAGGTCTGCTGTTTGCTAAATGCCTTCCGAATATATTTTCAGGTCTTCAAATTTGCTGATCAGTCATCTCTGTTTTTCCATTGCCAGATACGTCTATCACTTAAACGAGGTAGCTGCAAGGTAAAACTATAAATTACTGCTTAGAAATTAAAGAGTTAATGAATTTAATCAGTTCCACAGAGCACACCCAATAAATCGCAGATTTACTCCGGAAATGCTTGCGGTAAAGGAATAATTAAGTACACATGTGTTATAATTTTCAAACACCTTAGAAAATGTGGTTTGCCGTCTTCAGCCCACACGGATTTAGGCAGCAAAGTCAAGGAAGGAGGTGGGATGGTACGAGACAAAATA